GTCTGGGGGAGTTTCAGCCCCACCCCTTCTCCTCCTCCTCTCTGTCTCTCTCTCTCTTTCTCTCTCTCTCTCTCTCTGTCTCTCTGTCTCACTCCGTCTCTCTCTCCCTCCCTCCCTCCGCAGCGAAATCCAGGCTCTAGTGCTCTGACACTTCAGCAGCCGCGTTCTGCTTTGAAGCGTTTCTTTAGGAACGAGCTCTCACGCTAAAGCGAGAGTTGACTCCTCCCAACACTAAGAAAACAGGAGGGGAGGAGTCAGCTGAGCTCCTGTGCAGCGGAGCACAGAGAGGGAGAGAGACRAAGTAAACAAAAAGGCAGGAAAATGAAACTTATCGCCGTCTTTTTTTTTACCGACCTCAAAAAAAGTTATCGTGCAATTAATTGATTTATTGTCTATCGCGACAGGCCTATCTTGGGTGTAATTAAACATTATCCTTTTGTTTTGTCAGTTACCACATTGATCTTAGACACATTCTGATACACATTTGGTATAATATTTGGCCCTCTGGGTAATTTGTTACATCATGTTCTGTAACATTTTATTTCTGCTGATGTCTTTGTCATTTGTTTAAATTCCATTTAGTTAAAAAAAAGACTTATCTTAATTTACTTTGACTTTATTTTTCTCTCAGGATGAAGTTTGTATGTTCTGTGTGTAAGCTCCGAACGTTCTACAAAGAAGAAATGGACGCTCATCTTGAAAGTCGCTTTCACAAGGACCACTTAAAATTCCTGGGCACCCACCTGTCCAAGCCCACCTTAGACTTCTTACAGGTGACGTTGTGCATTTTTATTTTTCTCTTTATTTGTCTAAATTGTTTGACAGATGAGGTCACGCAGCAGTCTACTTGCACATTGTTTGCAGACTTGTGATCTGTAGTGGGAGTGGGAAGCCTGAACAGGTGGAGAGAGAGGGAATGAAATTCTGATGCAAAATGAAACAATAAAGTTTGTTTTTCTACTGCTAAAAACGAAAAAATTACAAAAACAAATCTTTGAATTTTGTAGGAGTATTTGATGAACAAGATTAAGAAAACAGTGGAAAGGATCAGCCACATGGAAAACCGCACTGCTATCATCTGTCAGGCGTACAAAGACCGAGACCTTACCAAGGGTAAGCACAGCAGCTTTGTTTGGACTGATGCAGCTCAGACGAGAAATGATATCACTCACAGAGATCCTCTCCAAACTCGCAGAGCTCGGCATGGAGCACTTCGTGAGGAAGGTGGAAGCAGCTCACTGTACTGCGTGCGACATGTTCATTCCCATGCAGCCACACCTGATTCAGAAGCACATCAAGTCTCCCGAGCACAACTACAACAGGAAGGTATGACAAAACCTCCAGTGTTGACAGTATTTACTGCTCCTAAACTAGCTAATGTTGGGACAAAGATCAGCTGAGAGAGTCAACATGATAGCAGCTGTCTGTCTTAATGTCAGCCTATTTTATACTGCAATCTAAGCAGATTGTGTGTTTTTTCTGAAGACAATAACTTACAGTTTTAGTTTTATCATGTTTTTTTCTCCACTTTTTTTGAGAGGTATTATTAAGAATTTGCATGAAATAATTGTTTCCACACCAATGTTTGCTTTTTATGTACCAGATCAAAGTCCTGCACTGCCAAATCACTCTTGCAGTCATATTTCCACTGTGACACCGTCTGTGTTTGCAGTAAAACCTGATTTTTATTTTATTTTTAATCAAGGGTATGATGGTGCAATCCAACTGGGACAGTCTGTCGGTCGCTCGTAGCATCCTTAACCACAAAATCATCAGCAAGAAGCTGGAGAGCTACCTCAAGGTATGTTGGACATCATTAGAAATAAATTAAATATTTTACAGAGGCAGTTCACTGTGTTTCGCAAATAAACAGGAGTTGCATTTGCAGGTATAGTAAAGAGTAAAAGTGGTTGCTAAACTGATTGTTGCACTCTTTCCTGTTTATATTCAATATTTAGTTACWGGGTTGTTTTTTACCTTTAAATCCAACTTTAGATTTTTACTAAAATGTGATTTATATTTTAATTTTTTTGTTTGTTGTTTTTATAAAAATATTACATCATTAAGATTTTTATTTATTCCCCACTCTGTACTGTTTTTATTCAGGGCATGACATTTTTTTTATTACTGAATATAAATTGTTATGAAGTTTTAAAGGGGCAATATTATGTGTTTCTCAGGCATATATTTAGATACTATACCATAATAAAGTATGTCACTTTTAGCTGTTATTAAAATGCTGTTTTTATGTTTAAATAAAAAATAAACTTATCTTCTCATCACTTCCCCTTCTAAACTCCTTGAAATTGGCCTTTGTCTCTAAGAACCACCTTACGCTTTTGTCCCGCCCATTTCAGTGCAGGGGGTTCATACGTAGGTGGGTGGGTGGTTGCGCTATGATGCAGTTTACTTGGCATCTGAAAATACATTTCCTCAAAGGTATTTTGAATCTGAAAAAAGCTTCACTGAGTGAAGTAGTGGAGCTCAGCAGATAGTTTCACTTTCAGTTTCACACGTTTGCTTTGTTACTGCCGAGAGCCTGCAGGAGGAAGTTGGGCTTAAAGACACGCCCCAGGGGTGTTTCTGGTCCCCACCTGTCATTTTGCTCCTCAGCATGGCTGCCTAAAAATGCTGCAGGATTTCTCAAACATGCATGAATGAGTCAAAGAAAGGCTTTGGGCATGCTTTTAATGAGAGTATAACATTATAACATGATATTTTACATGATGTTGCCCCTTTAAAAAAAAAAAAAGAATTAAACATCAAACTACAAACTTTGTCTTATGTGCGTTATTCTGGTTAAACATTAGCTGAAGTTGAATATAACTGGGTAGATTTCAAACTTTGCTTTCACTGAGCAAGACCCTTAATTTTAATCAGAAATCAGGTTTAGATCTCATCTTTTAAACATTTTTTTTAATTAATATACATTTGTCGTTTTCAGGGAGAAAACCCATTTGCTGATAACCAGGATCCAGAGGGTTCTGTTGCAATGGATGTGTCAGAGATGGAGTTAACTGGTGAGACAGCAGGTGATCAGACAACAGACACCCAAGTCCAAGATGAACCTAAGGGAGAAGGAGCGGCAGACGGCACACAGGAAGAACCAGCAGCAGAACCACAGGACGAATCAACAGGAGCAGCAGTTGAGAAGGAGGGGGAAGAAGCTGCAGGAGAGGAGGAGAAGATGGAGGAAGAAGACCACGAAATCCTGGGTGCCGAAGGTTTTGCTGTTGGAGATGAAGAAGATGATGATGAAGGCTATGTTGTTCATGATGCATTTGGTGATGAGGGATTACAGGGTGACCAGGAAGACAACGAAGAAGGTTGTCTTGTGGGGGATGATGAAGTGTGACTTTAGTAGCTTTCCTTTTTTATTTTGACCAGTGGTGTTGTACACCTGTACTGTTCATTTAAGGGATATAAATGTACATACCTCCCTGCTATTTTGATTTTTTTTTTCTTCCAATTGGCAAGGATTTTGATTTCTCCATGCTAAGATTTAAATGGGAGAAAATACATGTTGAAAGAAACACATAGGACTAAATGTATGCATGATTGTCTACTAAAACCTTTTATTTAGAGGTTCTCAGTGGTCTCCTTTTCTAGTCTTAATTCTCAGTTTTGTTTAGTTTTTTTTTGTGCAACAAAAGTGGATTTGATCTATACTTCTAAACTTTGAGAACTTTGCCATATTTCTGATGTAACATTTTTGTTCCAAAAATATTCCCTGTTCCTTTTTGTGAAAACACTGTTTTGAATTTCTGTTCGAGATCCTGAATGCTATATTTCTTCAGTTCTTTCCAGTGTTATAGCAAAATAAAAATGAATGGATGATTTTTCCAAAATTTATCCCCCAAAAATTGCAGCAAGTTGAGCTTTTTAACCTTCCATTTTCAAAGCAAGGTGGTGGGGGAAGTGTATGCTAAATGTTTGGAGTACAGTCATTTGTTTCACCGAAGAAATAAACTTGTTAAATACAATCCTTTTTGTCTGCCGTCTTTCAAATCAAATTAAAATACTACTTTGGTAAGTAGTTGTTTTTATCAAAGGAGTTTTGGTTCATTATTTTGATGCAACACAATTGTTTATGGTTAGTTTAATAAAAAACCTACATGTATTYGCAAATTCATTATGCTTTGTCTACAGCAGTCTCTTAACTGTAATTACTTGGTGCTGCTTTAATTCTGTTTTACCAAACCAGACTATAGTTTATTAAAGCACATTTTATATTGGCAAATTTTAAATACTGGATGCAGCAGGTGCAAAATACTTTAAAACTAAACCTTATATTTCTCTGTTTCTTGATTAGTTTTACGTATTGAATGGGTATTACTAAAACCATTTTGAAAGTCAGTTTTTGTCTAATCTCAGTCACCTGAAGCATCTGGTGAAATACCAAAACAAAAATGAACAACATATTGGTAAATCAGTATGAAATTAGATTTTAAACTTTAGAAAGTCTTTAAGGTATTATACGGCTTTTGATTTGCTTGAATTAGTAAAACTACAACCTTTTTCTTCGTCTGAAATCATTACAAGGTATTGCATGAGCTCACTCGTGGGAGTGGGAGGAGTAGTTGAGTGACATTTCGACTGACGCGCGCTCAGTCTGCCCACTTGCGTCTGACGTCATTGACGTAGCTCGGGACTGTTTGTTCTGGATTTGGGCGAGGAAGGTCTGCGAACGCTGACAAGCGACTGAACAAGGTAAAAATAGCTGGTAATATCTTTGAGTAGATGACGGTAGTGCATGAAACAGAAACATACAATCGCGGGGAACAGGTGAGGGGCTTATTACGGTCACCGTTGCTGTATTTTTCGCGCTGTCGGTGAGTGCTTCTGAAAGCGGAGCATGAGCTGTCTTCGCAGGCCTTGCACCGGTTCGGGTACACGAGATAAAAGCCGTTTTATCTTTTATTTATTCGCGGTTAGCTGTCCTCGTGCAGATTTGGTGTTGAATCTTGTTTTTTTACATACGTTTATAATGGTAACTTTAGTGTCAGTGGGTATCGTTGCTGTCAGTGTGCATGTTAGCTGCAGGTCGGTATCGTGTTAGCTTAGGTAGCTGCTATGCTGTTTGTTTGTAGCCCCGTAGGCCGTATTCGTGACATAAGTTACGTCCTATCGGTTGCGTAGATTATGCGCGATGGCGCAGAAACTTGTATGAAGCGTGGCGTACGTCATTTCGAGAATATCAGTCCGGTCAAAGTTGTATTCTGAAACGGTGTTTACGTGCAGAGCTGTCACTTGTTCTCAGTGAACATGGCGATCTACTGGTGTGGAAGGTTAGCAGGGAAAAGACGTATATTATTTTGGCTTTTCCTGAATTTGTTGTTTGTGTTAAGTATCACCAAATATGTCTAAATTAAAGACTGTAAAAAGGTAATTGGAAATTACGACTGTTTAGTCAACATTTTAGTTGGTGGTGTTTTCACTTTTTTTTTAGTTAGTTTGGTCGCTACTCTGCTTTTAAATCCTGCCGATTTGTTTTTGCGCTACAGCAATACTTTATGCTTTTTACTATGCATAAGAACAGCATAGTAAAATCCACTATTATGTAATCAAAAAGAAAAAAAGTAGGTCCTCTGGCTGGGTTCTTCTTTAGTGAAACGTTTCGTCCCTCCTCCAAGAGACTTCTTCAGTTTGATGAGTTTCACTCAACTCACTTCACTTTCAACTCATCAGACTGAAGGTCTCTTGGAGGAGATACGAAACATTTCACTAAAGAACAATTTGACAGCTTGTGTCTGGTGTTTAAAATCTTTGCACATGTTTTTTTTTTTACTGATCTTATTAGTGTACTATATATTTCTTTTTCATTCATGCTTATATTGTTTGATGAGGTAGCTTAGCACTCTTCAATGAATAACACTTTTATCAGATGTAGCCATTGCATACTTTTATCTTAATGTGCATTATGAAATTAAAACGAAAGTACTTCAGGTTTTAAATATAAGCTTTTTAGTCACTGAAGCTTAATGAAGTCTTAAACAATATTATGTTTGATCAATGAAGACCATCTTTGCATTTAACAGGACTAACAGAATTTACTACTAACAGTTTGGTGTCTATAGTGTAAAAGTATTGTCATCCTTCATTTTTACATTTATCTTTTAAGGAATTCTTGGAATCTTTTGATCAATAGATTTCTAAAGCTCTTTCGGAGTTTTCCTTTGGACTTTGACCGCTTTTTTGTTCATTTTCTGTTCAGAACCTGACCCATTTCTTGTTTGTTTTTTTTATTTAAGTCACTGTACGTCTATGCACCTTTCAGTCGTAAAATGACTTCTAAACTCAAGTGTCAGTGTTGTTTGTTTATAACTATCACAGAGACACTTGATTCAGTTGAATCTATGAAAATGGTATAACACTTTGACACACTTAATGTATATTTTAGCTGAAGTTTGACATTTAGCAAACAATCGATTGAAGGGTGATGCAGTTCTCTGGTCCTGGTTCAGGTCTTTGTTGAAATTTATTTTCCTGGTTTTAAAAAAAATTTCAACTTTCAGATGCTGTTCATTGTGGTACATAGAATTTTGAAATATATTTAAAAACTAGAGCCCTGACACTTTTTTTGTCTTCCACTTRTTACTTTTATTCATTTTTAAGCACAAAATGCAGTCATTGTCAAGAAACAGGGCTGGACAAAATTTTAATATTTTAATGTTCATTTGAAGCAACCGGCATTTGACATGTTGTTGTKACTCATGTATTTATGTTTCTCAAAGGTGGGACACTCAGCATACTATCTCTGTGTTGTGGTTTCCTTGCCCCCCAGCGTCTCACAGACAAACCTCTCATCTTACGTCAGGAGACGGCCACCTTACCGACTAAGATATGATCACACTAGTTGATTAAGACCACAGTGGCACAGCGTCAAACATGTAAGTTTCTAAAAGAATATTTGCTCCTCTTAGGATAGATTTAATCATGCACAAGTTTTGACATCTTATACAAGTTAATAACTGCCCCTAGAGTTTGTACTTTATCTAAATGAAGAGCTTCTGGGGAAAGTCAGCAAAATTTCCTTGCTGCTTTAGCATAACTGCTCCCTTTTCTATTTTATATATGCAGAATGTCACAGAATTTGTTATTAATGTGGATCCAACAAATTAGCTTTTTTTCCTAACATTTGAAGTGTTTTACACACTTTTCAGTAGGGCTGTGTATTGGCAAGAATTTGGCGATACGATACATATCATGACAGAGGGGTCACGATACGATGTATCCCGATATATTGCGATACTATAAGCAAGGCGATATATTGCGATTTTTTTGTCCAAAAATTCTATTAAATAAAAACCTCTTACAGGGGAAAAAAATGAAAAACCAAAATTCATTCATAATATTACATAGACATACTTTTGATACATTTAGCTGTGTTCTGCTTTGTATGYATTTTATTTTATTTCATATTTCTTATTTCATCCATGTTTTCAATTATTAGACTAAATTTGACAATAAATAGTTTGAAAATATATTTTTGCAGCTTTTAGTTTTTAATATTAATTTACAATATGGTCACCCAACACTTAACAATGGCCTCTACCTCAAGAGGTAGAGGATCCAAATGGCTGGCTCACTGCTGCCAACTAGTGGTCAGAGGCTGAACTACAACATAAAAATGAACGGCTGGCAGGAAAGTTGACATTTTAAACCTTAATAAAAAAATCGATACAGGGCTTTAGAATATCGATACAGTATCGGGAAATGAAATATCGCGATATTTCAGTGTATCAATATTTTCTTACACCCCTACTTTTCAGTGATGTTCACATAGTGCTGGACAATAATTTGATATCAAAATATATCGCAACATAAAAAGTTTCAATGACGGCGACATAATTTTTAAATAAATTTGATTAATAATGCATGCGTGACACCACAGGTTCAGTGGCAGTTCTCAGTGTTGCCACTCTGTTTACACCATAGTAGGGTTGGGCAATATTGGCAAAAAATTAATCACGATTACTTGTGGTATTTAGCCAATAACGATTAATTTGACGATTAACCCTCTGGAGTCCCTGACACCTTTATGTCCTAGTCACATGACCAATTTAGTGGGAAACGTTTGCTCATCATAAAAATCTGTTCCAAATTCTGTCAAAGTTACAGACTTCAAGGCTGTACATCTAATTTTAAATTATGTTGATAGATAAATAAATTACAGAACTTTATTTTAATGTTTGTCATATTTGAAGCAGAGAGGAGCAGCGAGCGAGCGGACTCTGCCTGGTGACATTAATCGTATTAATCGTCAAGTGCCAAAAAGTAATCGATTAATGTTTTTCTGATGACTAATTGCACACGATACGATTAAGCCCAACCCTACACCATACTGACAACGCTACCTACACGCACAGTGGATATCTGTGCCAAAATTAGCTCAACAGAGGTGAGTGAAAAAGCATCCACAGTTGGAAAAAGAAGCAGAAGAAATAGTTAAAATAGAAAAGACTACCGTAATTCAGTCAAGTGGAGGTGGTTCGGGTATCGAAGGTCTGATAAACGTCGTAGAGTGGTGCCGACTCTCAGCAGGAACACATCGAATCTGTTCCACCGTCTGATAAAGTTCCACTTGATAGAACATTCTGAGAGTACGGAAATTAAGCACCATAAAAGTTTAAGCCCTTTTCCTAAAACATCACCATCTCCCCGTCTGCAGCTGTGTCGAGCAAAGTGAAACAGACACTGCAAAATGTAAACATGTATGGCAAGCCGTTTTGGCATTTAATCTGCTTCAACACATTTATATTCCAGATCTGAAATTGGTTTATGATTAGTTAATTACGATATGTCTAATGATATTTTGACTAGTATAAATTATGTCACATTAAGTTGTATGGAGGCTCCAATTCAAGATATCTGCAATAAGTTACTGACTACCTGAAACATATATGTATTTCAGATATTAACAATGAAATTATAACTAGTTATAAAAGTTAATTTGAGAGGAATAAATAAATCTAACTTTAGCCATTACTTCAACAAACTCTTCCACAGTAAAAGATATGAGTTTAGTAAAGACATTGAAGCTGTGTTTCCTAAACTGGATACTTTTCCAGGAAAAAATAATAAAGTCATGCCTGTTTGGGTGAAGCTTTTCCAAAAAATGATAATGGCTTCATTCAGACTGTTTAAACTCACGTTGAATAGCTGAAAGATGTTTAGCGAAACTTTTGGTGAAAAAAAAAAAAAACAAGATACGACAGACTGCAGTGTCCTGATCATCATCATTGGTTTATTAAACTGGACACAGTTACAATACAATAGATGTCCAATGTATTCAAATAATCTATATTTAATGGAGTAATTATAAAACCTAAAGTGAATTTGAAAATTATTTGTGAAGCACATATGTTTTTCAAAAGGAACAACTGTTTCTGGACTCTTAAGGTGATTTCCTAGTTAATTGTAGAAACTTCATTTCACTAAGCAATAAGATACATTTTGTGGATAAAATGTTACAGCCTTATACAAATCAAAATTCAGAATAACTTTAAGCGCAAAATAACTGAATTTAGTAAAAAAAAAACAATCAACAGATTTTCATCGAGCCCTAATGAAAACTGTCTGCACAGAGGTGAGCGGTGTACTCTATATCAGGCTTCTGGGAGCACAAATACTAATGGCCTTTAAGGCTAAGTGGATAATATTTGTTGCAGTGTAGAATAACATTTAGTTATTTGATATCCTATCTGTTAAACGTGCCTGCAAGTGTCCAAGAAAAATGTGGTTGGATCTTAACACATCCTTGGTGCATTGTAGTGCTTTCAAATCAGTATTTAGTTGTTTTGAAGGGATTCACTAACCCAGGATGCACATTAGGATCAATTTTATAGGTTTCACACAGAGACATCGGGTGCTAAAGATCGGAGCAGGACAGAGGCACTGCGTTCAATGAGACAATTAAAAATGCAGAAATGTTTTTTTTTTTTTTTTTTTTTTTGACACAGTGATAGAGGTTTGCTTGACTTCCCTGACAAATGCTCTTATGGAAATGCGAACATATTTTTTCTGGTCATCCTTTCAGAGGGTCACGAGACGAGTGTGATGGCCTGAGGGGTCCACCCCCGCTCCAACCTGCCCCTGCCAGGTCCAATCTGCCCAAACGCTCTGCTCAGTCACTGCGACCCACCACTGCGATGGGAGACGGACTGGAAGCAGGCAGCAGCCAGAACCCTTCCTCTGCCACACCACCTCTCCCTTTCAACCCCCCACCCCCTGAAACATGGAACCCTTCCAGGCCCAAACGACAAACCAACCAGCTACAGGTAGCTTCCTTTCAGTTTTTGTTGTTTTTTACTAGTTGAGTTGATTTTGTCTTCAATTTGACTAACTTTCTTTCTACAATCATCTTTTTTTCCAGTATCTGCTGAAGGTGGTGTTGAAGACTTTATGGAAACATCAGTTTGCGTGGCCCTTCCAAGCACCTGTCGATGCAGTCAAACTCAATTTACCTGTGAGTCACTTGTTTTTGTTTTTGTTTGTCTGTAATCAAATGATATAGTTCAAAGCACCCAGCTTATACTGCAGCAACTGTCAAATTATTATTTGTTATGCAAACATTGTTGAATTAGTACTGATAGATGTGCTTGCCTGGGAGATAACCTCATCTCAAACTCATTTCCAAATCTTACTGTAACATACATTTGTTTAAATTAATAACAACACATGTTAATATACTTTGTTGTGAGTTTGTTCTTGTATTTTATCAAAAGAAAATAAGAAAGTCAAAATGGAGGTTTGAGTTGAAGTCATTTTAATGCTATTAAAGGGCCAATATTATGTGTTTCTCAGGCATACATTTAAATACTATACCATAATAAAGTATCTGTCACCTTTAGCTGTTATTAAAATGCTGTTTTTATGTTTAAATAGAAAACAAACATCTTCTCATGACTTCCTCTTCTAAACGCCTTGAAATCAGCCTCTGTCTCTTTAAGAACCACCTTCCACTTCTGTCCCATCTATTTCGGGGGGGGGGGCTGCTACGATGCAGTTTACTTGGCATCTGAAAATACATTTCCTCAAAGGTATTTTTAATCTGAAAAGAGCTTCACTTGAGTGAGAAGTAGTGTTAAGAGCTCACAGACAGGAGTCATGGGCGGGGTGTGTGGGGTGGGGAGGAGGGGGTGCTCTGTCATGAGTAAGTTCGGCTTAAAGACACGTCCCAGGGGCATTTCTGGTCCCCACCTGTCGTTTTGCTCCTCAGCATGTCTGCCTAAAAGCGGTGCAGGATTTCTCAAACATGCATGTCAAAGCAAGGCTTTGGGCATGTTTTTTATGAGAGTATAACATTATAACATGATATAAAACTCAAAAAAGTTGATTTTACTTGATATTGCCCCTTTAATGATCTTTTAATCCATGTTGATTTATAAATCTACAGTTTAAATCAGGAATAGGAAATAGTAGAAATAAACATGATTACAAAAGCTAATTTTAATGCAAAACATGAAGAATTGCTGAAGTGTGGCTGACACTAAAGATCTTACGTACCAAAAATTTTTTGTATGTTGGTGTTTTATCAACATGCTATAAATCAAGGACCTAAATGTCTGCTACAGTCATTGAGGTTCATATGAGTCATAACTGTTCTGTGACAGCAGTGTGTTTTTATCTGAAAACAGCTGCTGATGTCAGGTGTTTTTACTTCACAGCTGTCCACCTAATTTAAATTTGTTCACCACTTACCTGTTCTTCCTGTTTTTATTTATCAGGACTACTATAAGATCATAAGGGCTCCTATGGACATGGGCTCGATAAAAAAGCGTCTAGAGAACAACTACTACTGGAATGCCCAGGAGTGTATCCATGACTTTAACACAATGTTCACAAACTGCTACATCTACAACAAGGTGAGCTAAGCTACAAATTGTTAGTATTTGACTTTCACGAACAAGATATTTTCATCTAGTTTTATTTCCCACATTGAAATACTAGCAGTTTTATAAAAATCTTTGACTTGAGGCCTCTGAACAACTACATTATACCAGGGAATGCAAAAACAGTAAATCAAAAAGGCTTGTATGTGAAACCTGCAGACTCAGATTGTTATGACGGTGTGTTTAACAAATGCAATGTGCTTCTTGTATGAATTATCCTGTTAAGTTTTTTTGCACAAGTGTTCATTTTAGGCAACATTAACACAGGAAAAAAAAGTCTAAAACGTAATCAAACCTGACCATCGAATTTTTTTTTTCTGAATTAGACTTAGTCATGCGGGTTTTCTCCAGGTCTACCAGTTTCCTTCCACAGACCGATTTCATGCATGTTAGGGTAATTGGTAACTCTTAAATTGTCACTGGGTTTGTGAGAGAGTGTGAATGCTTGTTTGTCTCGTTTGTCTGTGTGTGTGTCCCTGTGATGGACTTGAGAACTGTCCAGGGTCTGTCCTGCCTCTCGCACAAAGACCACTGGAGATAAATATCAGCTCCCCATGACCCCTCTTTAGAAAAACAGGTAAAAACAAAAGAAATGAATTTCACTTGACTAAACATTTTAATTGGGTTGTCAACCCAGTTTATTTGAGCCAAATTATATGAAAAGTTTAGGGAAAATATATTTAAAAAAAGATGATCTGAAGAGGATCTGCTTAACTTTACCACCTTGTGGTTTGCAACATTGGTTATTTCTTAAAACGTTTGTTTTTTTCTTTGAGATAAAAGTATCTTAATATTGGATTTTTATCATTTTGTTTCTTTTGTCTGACAGTTGTATGATGGATATAATGTTTTTTGGTGGTAGTACGCACACAGAAAGGTTCACATCAATTTGAAGCACTTTTCGCTTCAACTCCAGTTTGTCCTAGTTACTCAAAAGAGGCTTCAGAAAGATTTGCAAAATGTATTCGGACATTTTGAGGCCACCGGTTGAAAAAAGTTAACATGACCTACTGTTTAAAGTCTATTCTGTTCTGTATTCCAACTATTTAGCTTCGTTTCCAAACACTTCAGCTTTGTTGGGTTAACCTGGCTTGTTATATCCCACTTTACTAGCTGCAGGACCAAGCAGTTATTTGACTGTAAGGATTATTGTCTAAGCTTAATAAATTCAAGTAAATGTTGGAAGAGACGAAGACCAGGGTCAAAAATCTACGTCAGAAAAAAATAAACATAACGAAAAATGTTTATTTGGTCAATAAGTCTGTTTGTGTTTTTGTTTCTTTAGCCTGGTGATGATATTGTCCTGATGGCTGAAGCCTTAGAAAAGCTTTTTCTCCAGAAGATTACAGAAATGCCACAGGAAGAGATAGAGATTGCTGTGGTTACAAAGGGTCGTCGTGGGAGCAGGCGTGAGCCAGGTAAGGTTTTATTTTTAAGATGACAATATAGACTAAGTAAATGTGAGAATCTAGCACATGTAGGGATGCAAGTTATTGATTAACAAATGAATCTAAAGTTGATTGATCTTATCGATCGAATAACGATAATAAGCGGCCATTTTCTTAAAAACCTGACATTTCTTATGAATCAAGGGTCTTTCTATAAAAATAAAGGGCTAATTTTTACATGCTAAATAGAACAAAAATGTACAGTAATATATTTTAACAATTTCTTGTGACAGCTGACCAAATAAACAGACTACCGCTGACTGAATAAATAGAAAATTGTAGATTTCTCACACTTAATAATCTTGGACACAGGGCTGTACGGTGACACGTAGTGGGGTGCGAAAGTTTGGGCAGCCTTGTTAATTTTCCTGATTTCCCTTTTATAAATCATTGATTGTTTGGATTAAAAAAATCAGTTAAATATATCATATAGGGACAAACACAGCGATATTTGAGAAGTGAAATAAGTTTACATGATTTACAGAAAGTGTGCAATAATTGGTTAAACAAAATTAGGCAGGTGCATAAATTCGGGCACCAAAAAAAAAAAAAAAAAACCTTAACTCAGTATTTAGTAGATCCTCCTTTCACAGAAATAACAGCCTCTAAATGCTTCCTATAGCTTCTAATGAGAGTCTGGATTGTGGCTGAAGGTATTTTAGACCATTCTTCTTTACAAAACAAATCTAGTTCATTCAGGTTTAATGGTTTCCAACCACAGACAGCTCTCTTTAAGTAACACCACAGATTTTCAATGATATTCAGATCTGGGGACTGAGATGGCCATTCCAGAACACTGGGCCGCATGCAAGAACATATTCGTATTTTTATCCTAAATTTCTCTTACTTTTGTTCATMCGAACATGCCACATCAGATTCAAGTGTAAATGAGCTGCGTAAGCATGATGATTTCCACCTGTTCGTATCAGCTGCTCGTGCACGCAGAGAGGAGATTAGCATAATTACCACCCCAAAAACACCATATAAGGCTATGTTTCCTGCCACAGATACCAGGAAGTGTCCATTCATGAAAACGACAGCGAAAAGTAAAAAGAAGAACTTTACGAGTTCGGAGATTAAAGTCCTGCTCTCCGAGATCGAGAAAAGAAAATATGTCCTTTTCAGCAGCGCGAGTCGTGGAATTAAAGGAGCTGCTAAATCCAAAGAATGGAATGAAATAACTACTGCTGTTAATGCCGTGTCTCCCGTGGGTCGTTACAGTCACAGAAATAAAAATCTAAATCATATTCATCTCTATCTAGTCCTGCTCCGGTTTTTCTTTTGGTCAAATTTTTTTATTTAAGTGTAAACAACTGTGTTACATAGTTTTCATTTATTCAGAAGAAGAGCAGTCGCGCGTTGATGTTCCAAGATTCCCAGTCCYTGTACTGGCCACACAGCCCCACAGCATGAWGGAACCACCCCTACATTTTACTGTAGGTGGCAGGTGTTTTTCTTGGAGTGCTGTGTTCTTTTTCCTCCATGCATAACGACTCTTGTTCTGCCTAAATAACTATTTTAGTTTCATCAGTCCACAGCACCTTATTCCAAAATGAAGCTGGCTTGTCCAAATGTGCTTTAGCATACCTCAAGCAGCTCTGTTTGTGATGTGGGCAGAGAAAATGCTTCCTCTGCATCACTCTCCCATACAGCATCTCCTTGTGTAAAGTGTGTTGAAAAGTTGAACAACGCACAGTGACTCCATCAGCAGCAAGATGATGTTGTAGGTCTTTGGTGCTCGTCTGTGGGTTGACTCTGACTGTTCTCAACATCCTTCACTTCTGTTGATTCCAGATTTTTCTTGGTCTGCCACTTCCAGCCTTGACTTGAACTGTGCCTGTGGTCTTCCACTTCCTCACAATGTTTCACAGTGGAGACTGAAAGCTGAAATCTCTGAGATAGCTTTCTGTATCCTTCCCCTAAACCATGACGGTGAACAATCTTTATTTCATCTCATTTGAAAGTTGTTTTCAGACTCCCATGCTGCCACTCTTCAGAGAAGATGCAAAGAGGAGAAAACTTACAWYTGCCCCCCTTAAATACCCTTTCTCATAATTGGAGTCACCTGTCTATGTAGGTCAAGGGTCACTGAACTTACCAAACCCAATTTGAGTCCCAATAATTAGTTTTAAAGGTTTTAAAATCAGTAAAAGGACAACACTGCCCAAATTTATGCACCTGCCAAATTTTGTTTAACCAATTATTGCACACTTTCTGTAAATCATATAAACTTCATTCACTTCTCAAATATCACTGTTTGTCCCCTATATGATATACAGCATTTAACTGATATTTTTTATCCAAACAATTAATGATTTCTAAAGGTAAATCAGGAAAATTATCAAGGCTGCTCAAACTTGCGCACCCCACTGTATATTCAAATTCAAATTCAAAAATACTTTATTGATCCCAGAGGTTAAGTATATGTCACACATGCAATGAAAAAAAAAGAATTGTGCTATAAAAGACTGTCATTTTAAGAAAATAAAATGTGCCGTATACTATTTACCGTAACTCCTGTTCTACTTTGCCCAACAACATAATTTAAAAATGGTTTAAAGTTTGAAGTCTCTACTTTTGACTTGAATTGAAAGTCTCTGAAAAGGCGGATCTTTTCAATTAGAGCAATTTAAATGGGCCATGAGATGCGCCAGCGGACGTTATCAGTTAATTGATTGGAACAGATTTAATAAACCATTATTGAACAGTTAATCTTAATCCGATTATTTGTTTGCATCCCTAAATACAAGTTCTGTTAAATTAGAGAATATGTTGCCCTTTATGCTTCTGTAGGTGTACTTTGAAAGAATTTAAGGAACAGTTTGTTTCACTGAAGGTTTATTAGCATTAATCTGTACATGCACAGAATTTTAATTATTAAACCAAATTTTTTGACCTTCTAGGCTGTTAGATTTGTGTTTTGCCATCAAATATGTTAAYGATATAATGTGCCTCTCTTCCAGCTCTGATGACAATGTCAGATTCAGGCCAGGAGTCATCCTCTCCTTCTACTACCCCCCACACACAAGGTTTTTCATCTCCATCCACCACTCCACAGACTCGTAGTGCACCGACCCTCCCTCTTACCCAGCCTCCTCCTCAACCTCTTACTCAGCCTCCTCCCCCCCAGCCTCTCATCCAGACACCTTCCCAGCCTCTCATCCAGCCTCTCATCCAGCCTCTCATCCAGCCTCTCATCCAGCCTCTCATTCAGCCTCTCACCCAGCCTCTGACTCAGACTCCGCCCCCACGTGTGCCCCCTACACCCACCAACCACACTTCACATTTGGGACCCTCAATCGCCCTCTCCACCCCAGATGTCCTGGCTCAAGGCATGACATCTGTTCCTCCTCCAGCTGTAACGTACCAAGGCCTCCATCCTGCCCCCGTTCTGCAGAGCTCCCCAGCTCTCATCAAGGTAAGGATTAGAGATCGACCAATACCRATTATTTTGACATCAGTGTAACCGATACACCGATACGTACAGACGATTTATTTTTGGACGATTCTGCTTTTTCTTCCTCTATTTATAAAAATAAGAATGATAACAAATGTTACACAGGTCTCAATTTAAACAAAAAAACATTTATTAACCGGGCCTTGCCAGTTGTAGGCTGAGTGGAGTGCTGCCACACAGGATTTCTTTTTTAAGCCATTTAAAAAAAAAAAAACTAAAAATAAATAAGTTCATGATTTACTTTATCTAGTCCTAAATATTCTGTTTTTATTTGTATATTAATCAGATTATTATATTTTTTTATTAAATAAAATGACTATTTTTTTTATATCCCAGCATTTTTGCTGCAAAAACAGCAACATGCTTAAAGAGGAATACAGAGAAAAGAAGAAACACACATACGTCTTGCTATCTTTGTGAGGACTTCACACACACACACACAAACACAGCAGCTCTACCTCAATCTATTCCCATTTTTTGCACTGGGAAAAAAATGCATTTAAACCAGCTGATGTTGGCTTTAGATCTCAGTTTGAAATGTACACTGAAGAAAACCTGCATCACCTCTTTTATACTGCGGTCAGACCAAATGTGATCTGAGCAGCGTCTGCCTGGTTCACATGGTGGACGGCAGCTCTTTACTCGCTCTGATGAACGTAACAGCGAGAAAAGACAGAGAGGGAGAACAATAGAGGTGTTCTTCTGCCTCCTCTGAGCAGTTCCAGCATTTTTTAAAAGAAAAACAATGTGAACACACTAATTACAGTCYGATGCCAAAGTGAAACTACAAACATGGCGCTCCCGTTGGAAAGTGAAACTTAACACACAGCTGTTCTCTCCCCCTCATATTCCAACACAGAGGGCAGAAAAACTAAATTAGACACAGTTTAGTCACATGGAGGCAGTGCTTAAAAGCCTGAATTTTGCCTGAAACTCTCAGACTGAAGAAGTCTCTTGGAGGAGAGACGAAACATTTCATTATAGAAGAACCCGTCCAGAGGACCGATACAATTTTTTTTTCTTTTWAAATTAGACAGTTAAAACACATTAAAAGTTCATAACTCACCCTTATTGTTGTTGGCAGTCTGTCTTATGACATGGGGGCGGCAACATGCGCTCGCGTGACCCAAAGAATGGATCGGCCGAAAGGACGAACGTATCGGCCACTATGATACAAGGGAAAAAAACGCAAATATCTGCCAAAAATATCGACCGGCCGATGTATCGGTCGACCCCTAGTAGGGATACATCCATATGCGCAGCGATGGACACTAGCAGTTCTTCAGTTTTTGACCTTAATTTTCTCACTTTCCAACAGCAAAGAAAGAGCCAGAAGAGGAAAGCCGACACCACAACACCCACAGCTAATGACCAGCTAAGCGAATCGCCTCCCATTTCTGAAGTGACCCGGCCTCGTCGAGAGAGTGCTCGCCCATTAAAGCAACCCAAAAGAGACTCCTCACAGCCAGACTCTCAGCATCACCTGGGAGGAGTCTTGGAGACTGGAGGGTCGGTGGCATCGAAGCGTCAGGAGCAGTTGCGTTTCTGTGCACGCCTCCTTAGAGAGATGTTGTCAAAAAAACACATTTCTTACGCCTGGCCTTTTTACAAACCTGTTGATGCAAAAAGTCTGGGCCTTCACGACTACCATGACATCATCAAACACCCCATGGATCTCAGCACCATCAAGGTGATTTTATAACGATAAGTGGCCAGTCTGTATGAACTTCCTTTTTTTTTAAAGTGATGCAAGTTTTAGTCAGTACAGCAAATTTTTAAATATCATTATTAAATGAGTCGGGAGATTGAAAGTATAAATAAACCTGATTTCAACTTGTCAACTTTTACTTCTGTTTTTTTTATGCAACATAAATGAAGGATGTTTGAAAAAGATTTTGGTCATTGCAGATGATTTATTTGTCTTTTTCAGAAAAAGCTGGACAACAGGCAGTACCGAGACGCACAGGAATTTGCAGCAGATGTCAGGTTGATGTTCTCAAACTGTTACAAGTACAATCCTCCAGACCATGATGTTGTTTCTATGGCACGGAAATTACAGGTAAAGTGCTCATTTTAGACACAAACAAGCAAACTGCTAACATTATGGTAAATTGGAAATGAACTGTACCTACATATCACCTTTCTATTAACCAGGATACTCGCAGTTCTTTACAACACAATCCATGCCCTCATTTAATCAATAACTCTGAAACATAAACTGGATTGTGTCTCAAACCTTGTTCATAACAGCATGCTACTGAGTTGAGGTTATTTAGGACTTTTATGAAGTCCTGTAGCCACACCTATAGGTGAGCATCAATTTAAAGGGATCCATGATAAGTTGTAACATTAAACTTTATTTGATAAACATTTATTTTAAATGTAAAATAAAGACTGTAAAAATACTGTAGGCTGTTTAGTTTTGTAAATTTTTGAAAATATATTTCAACACGGATGGGGCCATTTTATTTACAATGTGGATAGGTCCTCGGTGCGAGGCTGCTAGTGAGCTATATCCACCCTGAAGGTTAATCTTGGACAATATCTGATGATTGTCTCTTTTAAATGAAACCAGAGAGGAGAAGGTAGAAATGACTCAGCTGTAACTGAAAATATGGATGGAGGACAATAGAGCTGCTTCATGGATGAAGAACCTCAGCTTAGCCTGTTAGCCTTCGCGCTAGCGCCGACAGTATGTTGCCTTATATGTGTTAGCTCAGCACTAGCGCGACAAACAAGCTAAACTGAGGTCCTCCATCCATATTTTCAGTTACAGGCTGAGTCATTTCTACCTTCTCCTCTCTGTCAACGCTCTCTGGTTTCATTTAAAAGAGCCGATCATCAGATATTGTCCAAGATTAACCTTCAAGGTAGATACAGCTCGCTAGCAGCCTCGCACTGAGGACATATCCACGTCATCATTTACCCAGAATGCTTTGTGTGTAAATAAAATGGCCCCGTCTGTGTAATATATTTTTAAACTTTTAGTTTTCATGGATCCCTTTAAATGCACTAGAAAATTAATTATATGTTCATTACATTTCTGTAACAGACATTGACTAGTAATAAATCTGGAAATCCCATGAAAACCATGAAGTTGAAGCTGGAAAGGGTTAAATGTCCCACCAGTGCATGTCTTAAATCCTGCCATGTAAACAATTTAGACTTGGTCTTAAATCAAAAGATTTTAAAAAAGATCGTTTTTAGGTGTTGATTGTTCTTAATAATCTATATTTCTATATGTTCAGCTGTTATCAGTTATTCCATGCTCATAAGAATGTTGATGTAACATTGTATTTGTGTGTGAGGTGACTGAACTTAAAGCTCCACATTCCTAAAGTGCAGAACTCTGGTTCCTAAAATAAAACATGACAGAATCCATAAACTGGGTCCTTCTGGCTTCAGTTTCCAAGACAGGGACACAAAGTCTAAGATTCTTAATACAAGGTTGATGGTCACAAATCAGCTTCCTGGCTGAATGATGCTACATCCTGTTTCATTGAAGGAATTGTGTTAAGAAGTTGATGCTAAGCTACTTGTTTCTTGAACGACTGCTGTTGAGACTCAGATTATTAAATTTGTGTCACATGCTGTTTTATTATTTCTCTGATCTCCAAGGACTACCTACAATTCTGTCATGTTTCTGAAATACTTTTTATTTTGATATACACTATCAAACTAACCTTCATACAGAACGATTCATCTAGGTTAGAGCTATAAAAATGTCACCAATACATTTTCTGTTCCAGTCAAACTCACGATTTCTCCTGCTGTCCTTCCTCCCGTCTAACAGGATCTGTTCGAGAAGCGTTTTGCCAAAATGCCTGATGAATCAGAGGAGCCCACCCCAGTTCCCACACCGTCATCAGCCCTGCACTCAGCACCCTCCGCTCGACAAGCCCCGCCCCCAACTGCTGTTTCAGAAATTGACAGCTCTAGTTCCTCTGATTCGGAGTCCTCACGGGGCGACTCGGAGCAAGAAAGACAGCAGCGACTGGCTGAGTTACAGGAACAGGTTAGAGCTTTCAAATGAAGGAGGAAGGCAGAGCTTTGACTGACTGTTTTAACACGGAGAGCAATGCGCAGAAAATGTTGATAATAAGTCCTCTGTTGTGTGCGTTTGTTACTTTTTAGCTTAAAGCTGTCCACGAGCAACTGGCAGCACTCTCCCAGCCACAGACCAGCAAGCCCAAAAAGAAAGAGAGGGACAAAAAGGAGAAGAAGAAAGAAAAACACAAGAAGAAGATGGGAACAGAAGAATCTGCAGATACCTCCCCTCTTGCAATGCTTCAAACTTCTAAGAAAAGCAAAAGCAGCAAAGATCCGGTTTTGGCAAAGAAAGAAAAGAAGAAAACTGGGTAAGAAAACTTTAGGGAGGGAAAAACAAAAAGTTTTGTTGCTGCTTGAACTGGAGCTAAACGAATCATTTGCCCGTCACAGGAAGAAAGAAGGAAATAAAAACAACCACCCAGCTGTGCCTCCTCAAACAGGCCCGATCCCTCTTGTCCCTTCAGCTTCTCTTGAAGCAGAGGATGACCCGGGTATGTTCACAAAACAGACACGTTGCACATGATTTGTGTTCATCTTTTTTTTTTTGCAACAGATAAGTTTCATATTTTGTTACGAAAGACCCAGTCTCAACCTCCTGTGATGTTTTCCTCTCCAGAGTTGAGCACTGACAAATGTAAGCCAATGTCGTACGAGGAGAAGCGCCAACTGAGCCTCGACATAAACAAGCTGCCCGGCGACAAACTGGGCAGAGTTGTGCACATAATCCAGACGCGTGAGCCTTCATTAAAGAACTCTAATCCAGATGAGATTGAGATCGACTTTGAGACACTGAAGCCCTCCACGTTGAGAGAGTTAGAAAAATATGTCTGTAGCTGCCTCAAAAAGAAGAAAAAAACATCAGGTAGGCAATTTGCTTAAATTTATGGTGAAGATCAAATAAATCTTTCTACACATCTTAAATTTAATCTGCCTGTACAAGACAGAAAATMATTAGTGTTTACAAGGTCTGGAAACTGGATAAATATAACTTAACATGATCAAAACCACTACAACTGTATCGAGTTACATTTTAGCAAAGATCTGCAGCACGTGTCTGACTGCAGGCTTCTTTTAACAAGTTTAACATTAAAACTTGTGAAAGTACAAGCTCAATATTGACATTTATTTGAAAGGGTTCCCAGGAGAAATTCTCTCTACGAAAACAGTTCTTACAATCAAATACAGAGATCAATAAAGCAACATACTGAGAATAGTAACATATTTGCAGCAGTTGTGTGCAGGTGTATATTCTGTCAGTCAGCAAAGAGCTGTTGTAAAGGGAAATTGAAATGACTGCATACTCTGAGTAAATGTGTTTGAAAAAGAGCCTCACTGCTTTTGTAGGGTGTCATGAAGAGGATGGCAGAAATTGTTCATGATAAACACCTTCTGTCACGCATAGACTCAAATGTTTCTCAAATGATTGGGCCTCATGCAAGAACATGTTCGTATTTTTATCCTAAATTTCTCTTACTTTTGTTCGTACAAAGGGTTCGTACGAACATGTCACGTCAGATTCAACAAACACTTCTATCT